TACCTCAGTGTGACCAGCACTCAGGACCATCACCCTACCAGTATAGAGGGCAACTTGGACCAGACAGCAGTGACAAGCACCAAGGCTGGACCAACCTCCCAGCACTGATGGAAGCGGAAGCGGACTACCCTTGCTGTACGGGAACTTCGGATGCCAGGCTCATACAATCTCCTACAGGCCCAATTCAGAGAGTCTACCCAGCAGGATTACCTAAGCAAGGCAGGCCAGCGCCCACGGACACATCCTACCGTCCTTCCCCTAGCTTACCCAAGGCTAGGCGGAGCTCAGACTAGCCGGACCGACTTATATCCCCGGCCCTACCCTAGAGCTAAGCCATGCATGGGTAGACCCCGTCATATACCTGATAGACCCCCCCAGCCCAGTATCGTAATTTGTGTGTATGTGTGTATGCCCTGAGGCAATGTATGTTTGTATGAGCCCGTAGGGCCAGTTGGTAGCCCAGGCTCCCGTCAATTTACCCCCTATTTTTTTTTTAACCTATTCTTCTTTTTGTTTGTGATTCATTATAGATCATACTGACTGTGTCTCTTCTCCTCTCCTCCTCTCTTTCCCTGTTTGTGATTCCATGCAGGTTCACACGATTGACGAATTTCTCCTCGTCCCTGGTGTATCTGAACAATACATTATCCTCGATGATTTATGCCATCGGGGAATCACAAGTATTTGTGAAACATATTCACGTGTGAGTATTTCACTCATCCTTGTTTGTGGGGAAGGGAGGGGCGGGGTGAGGGGGGAAGGAGGTGGTGGCCAAGAAAGAAGGGGGGGGGAGGGAAAGGTGAGGAAAGAGAAGGACCTGCATGGGCTTTGTGATGAATATGGCACACGACTATAATGTCTGTTTGTTGGGACTTGGTGGTGGTCCCACAAGGTGCCAAGATTGGAGGGCAAAAAGTGGCTAATGCCCCTCGGGTGGGTGTAATAAATTAAGGGCCTCACCACACCACTCTCGAAATGTGAAAAAGACAAAAATGTGGCGGGTGCATCTGGCCATGTTCTTGGCAGGGTTCATTCACATTTTGCATATTTCGAGAGTGGTGTGGCGATGTCCTAATAAGTGATTGGCGAGGCCATAGAGAGTTGTCTAAGTTTATGGCATTCATCAAACCAAACCTTACTGACGAGCTTGATTGAAAATGTTAGTGTTTTCTCTCTGTATCTCTTCTCTATACTCTTAAAGCGAATCGTGGGTCTTGCGTAACGCTCCCGCAAGACCTGGCCGCCAGTCTTGGGAAAGTGGTTGGGACAGGRGGGGGGGGGGGGGCGCCCAGCAGAAACTGGCAGTCACGCTGCGGCCCTTTTTTCTTTCCGCGCCTCTACTCGCGTGTTTTGCCTTTTTTCTGTTTCTCGTGGGCCGGGTTTGGTACAGCGCGCCTAAAGGCCGAAGGATCTCGAGACATTCTTGGCGGGAAGATGCATGTCGTTTTTTTTTTTTTYTCTCCCTCTGTTGTGAGGGCGGGGTCGTGCCGGTTGCAACGCCTGTGCTCGCTAGCCGTTCGGGTGTTGTTGCCTGCCGATGCCGGGGCGTGCGCAATTCCATGCATTCCAACGTGGATCGTCGACGGAGCGCTAGCGTGCGGGAAAGTTCAGTGATGCGCTAGCACGCAGTGATGCCGGGCGAAGGTGGAAGGGACGACGAAGTGCAATTGTGGAGAGAGTGGGGGGGGAGGGGGGAAGCACAAACGAAAAACAGGGGTATCGGGGAAGCACGAAAGGCA